TCCCTATTGAGGACCCCAAGTGTATTTAAACTTCATTCAATCAGTCTGTTCACATTCACCTTGAGCTCAGGGCTTCCTTTCAGGGGGAAATGCGGGAAAATGCAGGTAGAAAGTTGAATATTCAGAGTCACCATGAGAGAGAGAAATCACTTCACTGTGTGAATGATAAAATGAAAAAGGAACCCCAACCAATCTATATTAAAACTAAAGCCAGAAACTACCATTTTAAGACTTTTAAAAGACAGAACACAAAGAATAACCTAGAATTTCCAAAGCATAGGTAAATATGAACCAATTACTTATTATTTCATTAAAGTGGAGATGGGAAGGGCCAATTCCTAACTCTCAGCGTTTGCCTCCTGGGGTCCTAGATAGCTTTTCCTGTCAAATTAAAACAGGAAAGAAAGAAAAGATAAATAAACATGAGAAATTCAGATTCTCTAGGTACGCGAAGGAGAAAGGAAAAGAAACAAGGAAATAATGTTCCACAATTATTACCAGAGCTAAGAGAAACAAAATTACCTGATCATAAATTCCGGATAATCTGGTTTTCTTTATGAGTTTCCATTTTATTAATGAAAGGAAGGCAACACCTTAGTGTACCCGGATGAATTAAAATGCCTATTTGGAGAAGCAATCCTCCATAGGGGTCTCTAATAGAATCTGTGAACCATTCTGGAGTCAGATAATTTAGCTGTAAAAAGGCAATATTAATAGCTCAACCCTCAGTACACAGACCAGGTTGGACAGAAGGAGGCAATATTGGCATGAAAGGCTGTGGGGATTATTTGCATTAGCAGAACCTCCTGCAGCCACGAGGCTTCACACACGAAGAGCCCTTAAAAAGGGGGCAAAGTTGCCGAGCACCAAATCTATAAATTGTCCATCTGCTCTTGAAAAAAAGTTTCCATAAGTTTCTACGGTCTTTGTCCTAGAAAATGTGTGTGCATCAGAAATGTAGTAGATCTTAATGATGTATCATACTGAAAAATATTTACTTCCCGAATTTAAAGAAGGTTTTCTCATTAATTTTTAACCAATTGAAAGAGAATATATGAAATATCTAAACTGTCTTCTCTCCGTTATTTTGGACAAATCTGACAAAGATACTGCTCATGAAAATTCCAATCAGATCCTATTAACTGCAGCTCAATTCCAAATGTGGCAGAAAAATCTCTGTGAATAGAAATATGATGAGAAAAAAAGAGAGAAGAAACAGTTCATCCCACGTGTGGGTACCTGCTCCTCTCCACACCGGGAAATGGGATCATTCCAGACTTCAGAAAATCGGGGGGAGGTTGTTATTTGGGGTTTGAAATGGTACCAGGACACCCTTTTTAGGGAAGAGATTTGCAAAAGGCAGAAATTTTCTCTACAACAGCCCCTGGCAATCCTCATGTTCCACAAAGATCAAAATGGCATTGAAGAGCCACAAACCCACGTGTTTACTGAGGAACTGTAAGAAAAGCTGCTTGGAAAGTTTCACCAGAAACTACAGAAAATGGACTTTTTCAACTCAGTCCAGTTGGTTTTGATGAAGAACTGCTGTTACCAGCAAGACTGGAAAAAAAGTATTATCAAACCTATAAAATTCCAGCCTGCCAATTTTTTCTGTTCTATATAGGAGAAGTTCTGGTTCAATCTCCCCACTCCCATTCCTCATCTACAGACTTTCTCCAATAAGATTTAATCTTCCATGCTGAAACTGGCTATTTCTACTTGGTAAAGAATTAAAAAAAGAGAACAAAATAAAGAAAATAAAAAGATAGAGAGTAAAAGCACAAGAGCTCACACCTAAATACTCAAAACAGCACCGAGGGAAAACACATGAGGGAAAAAATCATCACCATACAAGTCTGGAAAACTTGTGGGGGATCTTTCATTTACACTACTAGAATTTTTTATTTCATAAACTTTATTCACCTTCACCACAGGAAAAAAACTAAAAATCTCCTATTCTCAGTATCAGTCTAGTGGAAATGAAAACGAACCAAATTTGGCAGATTACGACAAAGGTAATTTTCTTCTATGAGAAAGGTGAAAGGGACAAACAAGGCCTAATCCACACAGAAATTACCTTCAGGAAAAACCCCCTTACTGTGGCGTTCAAACGCACACATCGCAGCGCAAGCGGTGAACTGTGCCCGCCTGCTCTTCCTGGGTGAGACCCCCCCTGCAGTCCTGTGTCCAGCCCTGGGGTCCTCAGCACGGGAAAGGCTTGGAGCTGTTGGAGAGAGTCCAGCGGAGGCCACGGAGATGCTGCGAGGGCTGGAGCCCCTCTGCTCCGGGAGAGCTGCGGGCGCTCACCTGGAGAAGAGAAGGCTCTGGGGAGGCCTCAGAGCCCCTTCCAGTGCCTGAAGGGAGTTTATTAAAAAGAGGGAAAGCGGCTTGTTACACAGGCAGACAATTATAGGAGGAAGGGGAGTGGGTTTAAAATAAAAAAGGGGAGATTTAGATGAGATTTGAGGAGGAAATTCTCCCCTGCGAGGGTGGCGAGGCCCTGGCACAGCTTAACCCGGAGAAGCTGTGGCTGCCCCATCCCTGGCAGTGTCCAAGGCCAGGTGTTGGACAGCAGACCGGTACTGCTGGGTCAGAACCACCTCATGTGTGTGTTTGTGTGGAGGGGCAGGGCCGGGTGGCCCCTCCCGGCACTGAGGTGGCTCCGTGTCCCTCATGGGGCAGCCCCAGGGCAAAGGCGGGAAAACCAATCCCTCACATGGGCGGGTCGGAGGCGTTGGGGCTGCAGTGAGGGGGCCCTTCTGAACGCTGCCCGAGTCCCACTGTTCTCTCCCCTAAATTATCTCTAAAAGTGCCTCTTGGGAACAAGTCTTACTCCCTAGACACTATCTCGAGGCGTTAAAGAACCCGGTATATATTTCAGAGTAAAACTCCCCGCTGAGCCAGTGAGCTTTTGTTGGCACCAAGGCAACCTGGTGGAAGGTGTCCCTGCCCGTGGTAGGAGATGGGACAAGATGATCTTTAAGGTCCTTCTAACCCAAACCGTTCCGTGATTCTAATAAATTCCAACATACAGGTTATAGGGAGCTACTATCAAGTTGCAACATGATGGATCCATTATCATGAATAGACAGATAAGCAATAAGTCTATGCCTTTTTTCTTCCCTCTTTATTTTAATATCTATTCGGCCTTGTTATTGGGCTATTATATTTTGCTGTTGCAATTTAAACCTTTTATCAGAAATAAATCTTTGAGTTCTATTATCTTGTAACAATCCTGTAGGGACAGGCATCTCAAAAAGCTGAGAGAGAAAAATGAGAACGAAAAGAGCCTTTTTTGCAGGCCGCTATTAAAGTTTTCACACCGTTCCATTACAGCTATAAAATAGTGTTTTTATAATAATTCATTACTATTCTGTAATACACAAGGAATCTGTTGTGCTGTATTAATCAACAGTTCTGTTTTGCTAACTTATTAAAATCATTCACTTGAAGTTGCATGTTATTTTCGTGCCATCTTGTAGCTGATTTATAATGACTTAAAGTTTATTAATAGTTTCTCATTCGCCTCATGAAATTTTCAAATCCTGTTGATTCTTTCTTAAATCTGCTTTTAGTCAATATTTATCATTAACCTACTATTGAAAAACACTTGACGCCTTTTAAATGGTCACTGGCTTTGGGTTTTTTTGAAGGTAACTCTCCAAAAAAGAGGAATTTGGGGAAGAAGTAGAAGGAATGAATGAAACCGGTTGTGAAATCTGGCGGAAACCTGCAGAATTGCAGAAACATGAGGAATCTGTTTCTCCCTGAGCCAGCATCAATGATTCATTAGCCACTTGCTAAAACTCAATAATCAGTTCATGATTTGCTGAGTTCAACCATTATGAAAACAATACACAGAATCAGTAAATAATGGCCTCTGATGAATCTGCTGTACCGTGTTCCTTTTGGAAGGAGAACAATAGAAAGATCCAGAATAAAAGTAGAAAAGGGAAGCAAATGAACCCAGTAAATCATATGGAAGCCTAACTTTGTACTGTATATCTGAATTTACTCTGCACATCCAACTTCTTTATAAGCCCAACATAGCAGGTTGTCTGAAAATGGGTTCATTTTCAAACCCTAAATTTCAGATTTTGCTGTAACACACTGAAAAGCAATAGTGGGGGGGGGGGGGGGGCTTTTTGGGGAGGATTGTTCCTTTTAATTTTTTTTAGCATGTTCTGAAGTCAGAAAATTCTCTCAGAATGTTGAGCACCAATGGCAGAAGTATTTTTCACATGCAGCAATATGTTCTCACTGTCATGTCTCAGAAGAAATCCCTTGGGGCTCGAGATCTGTGCATGTAATACCCACATAGAAAATTAAGCCTCAATTGACTCCATAAAAAAACACCCCACAAATCCCACCTCTAAGAATATCTAAGCATTGTTTTTTAACGATGATTAACGAGATCCTCTTTAGAGTTCTAATATTAGTTACACACATTTATGGCAAAGCTAAATTTGATATAGCCAGGGATTTCTTTAAAATGCTGGACTGGGAGATAATGAGTTTCACAAATTTCTCCAGCACTCAGGAGAATGCACAAATCTCAGGACCAACACATCTTTCTTCCTCTGAATTAAAACCCTTGCTGCCTCTGTTTTTTAAGTTTTAAGTATGGAGGTTTGCTTCTGTGAATGGGGCTCCAAAGGAAAGGAAATAAAACCTTCAGTCCTGTCCAGCGTGTATTTTGAAAAATTTAGCTTCCCTGAGGTCTTAACAAAAGGAAATTCTACTTTGTGGGAAGAGATGATTAATCTGAGACGCTCCAATGATGAAAAGGATGCTCAACAGGTCCGAGCCTTTCGAAGGGAGGGTCTCACTCATCTTTGCCAAGGTGTGGTTCATGGAGCAGCTTTAGCTCTTGACATAGCAGAGGGCACCTCGGAATAATACAGCCTCTCTCCAGGGAACAAAATGCATTTCCAAGCCTTTTCTTTACCAGGTTAGCATTTGACAAGCTTGCTTTAATGCCCTCATTCTCCCCAAGTGCCTCAGATGAGGAGGACAGAAAAAGTTTGTGGCAGAGAAGGACAGAAGGAAAAGGAATTCAAGATTTTTCAAAACAGGTGCCAAGAAGCAGACTTTCTTTCCTTGCTGCAGACAGCAGGTAATGAGTATAAATGGATGTACTGGGGATTATTCTAGAAGCTTGGGCCAAAGAAAATGGGGTTTGCTCAGCTTTTATACACAAAGACAGACAAAATCTTCTGAATTCTTATCGTTTAAGTGTATGGGCTGAAAACTGAGCAAAGCTTAAATCCTCCACAGAGCCAACAGAAGGTGATTAGTCCGACATCAGCGATGCATTAATTTTCCTACTATTGAATTATTATTTGCATACCACAGATGTGCACAACCCCTATCAAGGAAATAAAAGTGCAGCCCCTGTCCAGAAGATCTGCTGTCCTAAGTTCATCCTGATATCGATACAAATAATGGAGCACACTTTTGCTCTCTAAAATGGCAGTCAAAGCAAATTGGGCATTCTGAGCTGGGCTCTGGCAGCCTTTTGTATTGCTTTCATTAGAGTGTCAGACTCTAAAAAAAAATAATGTGACAAAGGCAGGGTGGCTGGTGAGCTGGCAATCATACAACGTGGAGAGATCTGAGCCCTTCTGTAATGATCATATGTGATTTACAGAATCAAAGGGTCAAATCCTGCCCTCAATTACGCACCTATTGCGAGGTGGGACACCACCACGTGGCACGGGAATTAGAGAGATTATTGTGTTTCTGAAGAGACAGAAAAATGCTCTCTGGCCTTCAAAGTAAGAAATTCAGTGTTGATCCTGTATTAAATAACAACATATAAATGTACCAAAATATTGGACCATCTTCAGGGCATTTTTTTTTTAATAGAGGTATTTTGGGGGAGCAATAGAACTGCTGCAGACTCTGGTCTAATATTCTGGGTTTCTTGTCTAATATTGTCCACAGATCAAACTGGAAAAGAAAAACTGGCCTTCTTTTAGCCTGTTTGAATGCTGAGGCATTGGCTGAGTTTGGCAGTAGTTCCCCATCTCTGCTGTATCCCAGCTATCCCTCCAGCGCTGTCGTGGGAAAAGTGTTTCTGCAAATGCTCATTTCTGGTATGTCTCTTCACTAATTCCTATGCATCCTACAGAAGGAATATGCAATTTATTCCTCAGATGCACAAGTCACCTAATTTCAACTGCTGGTTTCTGCTTTTGGTTATATGGTCACTACCCTATAAGCCCAAACTCACTGAATTGTGGAGTTCCTCCACTGACTTCAGCGGGATTTCATTCACCTGGCAGGTGCTCTAAGGAACTGAAAGGCAGCAAAACCGATATGTCAGCTGGAGAGGGGCATTTCTGTTCCCCTTTTTGTGGAAACACATGACCAAGAGAAGATTCCTCTTGGCTTTTGTTTTTCCTCGACACCCACCTGCATTTGGTTCTGACCTGTGATGCAACATCAGGGAAAACACCACCTAAAGAGAAGGCAACTCTGATGGACAGATACACAGATTTTCATCTTAATTGCATGTTTTTAGGGCTTCAAAGAGTGTTTCACAATCATCAGTGTATTATAACATTTTTTCTGAAATGCAGTTAATAATTATTGTATGGATTCTCCGGCCTTCCAAAGTAACAATATTGGTGTCATTAAATAGACGTAATGATTTTTTGACTTGGAGCTGGAAATAAATTCTGACTTTCCATTCAGGCAAAACACATAGGTGCAAAGTTAGGGACAGTTGTGAAAGAAATCTAACCAACAAATGGAGCTCAAACAGGAGGAAACACTGGAGAAGGAAATTAAAGAAGGAGAAGGACTGTTAAAGAACAGTTCCAATGATTTGGATGTGCCACAGAAACATCCTTGTCCCAACCACTGTGTATCTCACTGGAAGAAACTACCACAGATCTCTGTGGTAGGCACTGTGCTTCCATGGCATTTTAAAGGAACAGAATTTTCTGGATCTTCCCCTTCTTAGTTAATACCCAGGCACACCCTCACACAAACCATATGTTAATAACTTCAGACCACAAATTTAATTTAGCTTTCCACCTGACATCACTCCTGGTCACATGGCACAGACCCATCCGTAAACAAAACGGGGATTCATTTCCATAGCAACAGCGAGGGGGACTTTGATCAGCTCCAATGATTATTTGTAGGCACACAGACACCAAAACCCTGAGTGAGGGCTGATTACCTTGTTTTTTTAAATGCAGGCAGTTCCGTTGGTTTATACAAGCAGGAACACGAGGTAGAGGCACTCAGAGCTCCCTGGGAAAGGCAAACGAAGCCACTGGTCATTAGCCTGGTGTCCCTTCCAGTTCCTTGGGAATCTGTACATTCCTAATGCCTCCAATGTGATGTGTGTGTCCTGTGACCAATAAAGTGTGTTCTTTGTGCTCCCTGGCAGATGTGCAGGTTCAGGCAGCGGGTGCAGGTGTTTTTGGGGCTGGCTCGTGTGGGATGAGGAGAGGTGGGAGCTTGTGGTTTGACAGGTAAAAAAAAAAAAAAAAAGAGGAAGAAAAAGAATCTGAACAATGTGTTGAAAAAGACTCCAGTCAGAGCTCCTCAGGACCAGCTGTTTTTTTCTAATTAGAATAACAAAAATAGCACATGCTAAAATGTTTTTTGTTTTTTTCTCAAAAGCCATGAATGCTTTAGGAACTATAAGGAAACAGCTCTAAAACCTATTTAAATGAAGGAATGTTTCAGGAGCCATATGGAGAAGAAAAAGAAAAGGCGAAAGTAGAGAAATGTTTTATTTTTAGCTAAATCTGAAGCATTTCGATTCTTCATCCAATGTTACACAGAAATTGTCTTACTTCTAAACTTCCAAAAATGTCAGTGCTGATGCTTATTGTATCATGGCTTAAAGGAGACAGTTAAAATACTCAGTGCCTTTCAGTGGGGTGTTCTTCCAGGCACTGGAAATTTGAAAGTTCCATTCCGTGCCCTGAACATGCATTGAGATATATTCCTAAGATCTGTCTGTGCTCTGGTAATGTATGAGAGCTGCACGTAATGAAGGATGTGACAAACACTCAAAACACACCCTGTATCATCAGTCTTTGCTCCTCTTTTTTCTTCTTTTTTTTCCCCCTCCCCCCTTTTCCTGAAGTGCTAATGATTCAAAACTTTCACTACAGGAATAACATTTGTAACAGCTCTGGCATTCTGGACATCTGCACTGCTCGAGTACTTCAGAATAAAGTCACATGGCCATGGGGAAATTTCACAGAATTCAAATCACAGGGACTTGCCAAGGTGTATAACGAGTTTGTTTTCAGCTGTTCTCCTCATGAATAATTACCAGGCAGGCATATCCTAAAGCGAGCACAAGCTGTCATTTCCCCAGAAATATTCAATATTTAAAACAGAATTTCGAATTTAGAATTTCATAAATGAAAATAATTAACAGCCCAGGCAAAACAACCCAGTCCAAGTGCTGTCAGGTACCTCCTGCCTTTCCAAGAGGCTTCCCAGGACCAGCACGTTGGAGCCACATTAAATTATTTTTGCAACGTAAAGAAAATTATGCAAATGTAAGGGAATTGCAAGTATATTTTTTTTTTTTTCCCCCCCTAGAACTAATACTTTGCTATCATTTTACTGACTGTTCCTTTACAGAAAGGGAAAACACAGTAGGATCCCAAGGCTTCCATCTGTTTTAGTCCCTTCGGATCAAAGCTGCTCGTGGGTTCTTTTCCACCACCATACACAGGAGCCAACAGCAGCGCAGAGCTGGACAGGAAGGATAAGGGGGGGGGATAAGATGCAAGGGATGGGATGCACTTGACCTCAAAGCCTTCCTTAGACCCTTTACTCCCATGCAGGTCCCTAACTGGAAGCTCAGACCTGTGTTGTTCCCTTGGGAGAAGTTGGGAAGGACTCACGGCACAGGGAGGAGGGGCCATGGGAACATGAGCAGCTCCAAGGGATCCTGGTCTCACTGCCCCTCCAACAGCTTCCAGATCAGCTGTGACCTCTCTGTTATTCCAGCAAATGTCTGCTCACATCCTTGGATTTTCTGCTTTTGCATCCCAGGGGGGATGAAAAAAGGGGAGATTGGGAGCCAAGAGAAAAGCACCCTCGCCTTTCACATGGGGTTTAATGTTGGCACGTTATTGTAACATTATGAAAATCTTTATTGGAGCTTGAATAATGCCCTGAAATAGATATTGTGCTGGTTAATAAATTACATTTTCAAATGAGAGAGATTTTATCACCAAAACATCTCATGATTAATTTCTAATGTGAAGCTTATGGCCCGAACTTAAAACATTGCATTTCGCATTTGTGTTCAAAGGTTGAGCACTTAGGAAAGTTTTTATAAGAAACTCGCTGTATTTTTTTCCCCATATTGAAAAAAAAATCACTAACCTGTTAATCCACTATAACTTCATAACCTCAATTACAGCTCTTGAGATGAAGGTGATTAAAAATAAGTATTTTCCCCCACTTTCAAAGAGCAGGTCACACCTTCCAGAGAAATCCTGTTTCAAATTTTTCAATGATACATTAAGGGCAATAATTAGAATTGGTCAGAAATATTCCATAAGAGATGTTTCCTATTTTTCAACCAGTTCTAACTATAACTACTTGGAGTTATCTCAAGTAGTAGTGCTGTAGTAAATAGAGTTATTTTCATAGGAAGTAAGAGGAGATAATATAGAACTGGATGTACCATGAGAAAGAGCCAGGGCATTCAAATCAGGAATTCTCAGCTCCCAAACTTAAGTATGGACCATGAGGCCAAACTTCTGCTCTAGTGAAGTTTTTTAAAATTAATAATTTCTAATAATCAGCCTTTTCCTGAACTTGGTCCACTGCTCAGATTTGTGGCACAGCATTTCCTCATGTGCTTGACTGATTTGCTGTTGTTGCTCGTGGGCAGCCCATGGTCCATCTAAACACACTCTCAAATGACCAAATGAATCAGTAAATAAGGGGACCAGAGAAATAATCAATAAACAAGGGCACCAGGCAAAGCTGCAACTCAGTTTCTCCATTTTTCTGGACCTGTTCAAGTCTTGAGGATTAAGATCTAAGTTTTTAATTGATTATGTCCAAGATCAACATGGCATTGCAAATATGCTGATACGCTTGGCACTCATTTTGTTAATATCTTCAAGAAATTAATCCAAATTTTGCTTTTCTAACTAGTAGCCAAACAATAATCAGATACTGTATTATTCACAAGGAGTTGGAAAAATGAACGTAAAAGAAACAAAGGAAATAGAACCACCCACAAAAATACTCCCAGTTCAGATTATTTAATCCTACCATTTACCAGAATGTGTGTTTTAATTCCAAGCACAGAAATTATTCCAGACTAATGATTTAAAAGACCCTCCTTTAGTGAGAGGACAGGTTTGGTTGTGTTATTTCCCAAGCACGTTTTGGGTTAGTGGGAAAACACAGGAGCTCTAAACTGGGGTAGGCAAAGGCCACCATGGGGGCTGCTCAGATTCTTGGGCCTGGTGCTGGAATTACATTAAAAATACAGTTATTTGTGCATTTGGTGGCATTAGCACTCCTGCATCAAAATCTCTCTTTGTTTTGCTTTGTTTTGGAGTTCTGGCAACTAAATAAATTGTTGCTGTGAAAAACACTGCACCTTGCTGTGATCCTAAAATGTGGAGAAAAATGAGGAACATTCTCCCAAGCCCCCTTTGTCAATCCCAGCTTTCTGATGGTTTTCCTTTTTTCCTGCAGTACTTCTCCAAATTGTGTTTGTGGCTGGTACTTCCTACCCTGCCTTCCTCCCACGGGGAGCTGGAGCTCCACCTTCTCCTCTTCCCATTTGCAATCCATTTTAATAACTTTGTCTTCACCAACAAATAAGAATTTTGCCATTGTCTTTGGGGGAACCAGAAGAGGTTTTCAGGGAGCTGAGCTGTACAGGTTTTTTTGTCTCATTTTAATCAGGATGTTGGTTGCACAATTCAATCCTGATTGTGTAATCAGAAAGCAAGAAGAAACAGAACACAAATGAATTACTATGGAAAAATTGTCCTCATAATGGGGTCATGAAGCATAGAGATATACATTTATAATGCTCTGTCAAATTACATTATGCAAGGAAATAAATTATGTTAAGAGAAAGTATGTTTTAATTACAGGCACAATACTTCTTCAAATTGGGGAAAAATTGCTAACCCCTTTATTATTATTATTATTATTATTATTATTATTATTATTAATAATAATAATAATAATAATAATAATAATAATAATTTAGCATCAATATGCACAGAAGTACTTGCACAGGGCAGACATCCCCTGCTGTTAAGGAGTGTGTGTGTGCACATGCACAAAATTTAGGGCTGTAACATTTTCCTATTAATATTTTTCCTGTACTTTTTCCCTGTGTGAAATAAAGGGACCTAAACAGTAAGACAAGAGTAGTTTGTTGCCATGCACATGACAGCAGTTCTACTGTGCTCTCACTAAGTGTGCTGCAGATAAAGTGGATTATTTAAATTACACAAGATAGAATGCAAGATAAAAAAAAAGGAATAAAGTTTGGGGTTTTGGTTTTTTTTTTAGTTTTGTTTTTTTAATCCAAACAAACATTTAAAGAACAGCATCCAGGGGAGAAAGAGGGTTTTGTCAGGACACACAATTCACCTTATAATTGCAAATGGAGTTTGAATAAAGGCAAACTTTTTATAATCCATTATAAAGAATGGCATAATATCACAGGTGTTTGCCATGCCTGTCTGTGAGATAAATTTAGAGATGATATCAATCTTTTAAAACCTTTGTTTGTCCATATTTTTCCTGGTTTGCCCACAAATCAAACCATAGTTGCTCTAAGTGCTGAGTATGAAACAGAGATGATATTTTACTCTCCTGCCCCAGCCTCTACACACAGAATTAACCACAAACAACTACCAAAAAAAGTCCTAGCTACCCAGGCAAAATGTTTGTCCCTCTTCCCAGCCCCTGTTTTCTGGGATAACAGCAAAAGCAGCTTGGGAAATGCACGGAATAAGAAGCCTGGAAAATATTCAGCCTTTGCTTCAGCAGTGCTGTGAAGACCCTGAGTACAAGAGGAGGAGGAAAACACATGGGAAAGGGGAAGATTGGTCGTGCACTTCTCTACCTCCAATTTAATTTTACTTGTTAAACTGTTGCTTAAAAGAGAATTTAAAATCCCTGTCAGGTGTCAGACGTCTCCCCTGCTCACCCAAAGGGTGTGTGGATGCACTAAAGCATCTTTCTTACCACAAGGTGGCATCTTCTTATTTTTATATAAAACATCTGAATATTTACATAATTTGAATAATTTTCTCCACCTGAACGTTTCTCATTCCTCTTTTTGTGACAGCCATTTAACATCTGTGCAGATGCCCAGCAGTGATGTCAGACTTCACCTCCCAAATGCTCCTGGAAGGGTGTGTGGCTGCTTTCCATGGATCTTTTCACACACATCACATATGGGCTGAATCCCCTCCCCAAACCAAGGCTTCAGGAACACACAAATACTCCTTGGAAATTCTGGGGCGAGGGAAATTAAGAATTTACAACATGTGTTCAAAACGATGAGCTTTTGCCCCCAAAACCCTGTTGGAAAAGCACATTACTGGGTATCTCAGCACACAGATATTTTAAAATATAACAGAGAAATCCACTAAACCCAGGAAACTTCACACTCCAGACTCTACAACATAACTCAAACCAATTCTACAAACACAGAAAAAATGCATGAAAAGCATCAGCAGGGTTTTTTTTAAACTGTGCTCAGATCACTCCTAATATAACCCATATGAGAAGGCAAAAGGGAGAAGTTTAAAGCCTCTCTCTCTCTAACAACTCTCATTTTGCACAGTCATTGGTCTCCTTCCAAAGGTGAAGGTTTTCATTAATCAGGAGAGCACAATGTCCAGCTATGATGTTCAGCTAAACACAAGTGGGGATTCAGGACTCAGTTACCCTGACAGAACTCAATCCACTCCCCACCACTGTGACTCTGCTTTAAAAGCGAAAGAGAAAAAGGAGATTTGTATTTTTTAAATGCTACAAGTTCATTAAATATGATCCTGGATCTGCTGATTCAACTGCAAACTGCTTCAAAAGGCCCTGAACTCAGGCTCCTGTCCCATAAGTGAGAGGAGTTTAACTCGCTCGGTGCACCACAAACGGAGAGAAATTTCATGCCAAAGCTTTTTCAGGGAGAAATTTAATTTAATGCTTCTGAAATGTTTCAGAAAATTCTTCTCTTCTTCCCCAGACTGGTCCTAACTAAGAGATTTTATCTCATGTACTAATCTGTTTTTAAGTTCAGGGCTTTTCACAGATTTCACAGACTGTTCTGTGGTGGAGGAGACCCACAAGGATCACCTGAGTCCAACTTCAGGGAATGGCCTCTACGGGGATTGAACCCACAACCTTCTTTTATCTTTGCAAAGAAAATTAGCTTGGTTTCTAAATTGGAAGAAATTTACTTCACAGAAATTTTAATTTTAAATTCTTCATGGTGAAATGAAGGGTTTTGAGTAAAAGGGAAGAATTTTCTCCCGTACAATGAATGGGTCCTGATCTTGGTGCAGGAATTCTGAATGCTGGAGAAGAGCAGCAGAATATTTCTAAGCTTGATACTTCCCCCCAGTCTTTAAACAAGATATGGGACAAGTATTTTTGATTTCCACATGCTCTTGGTTCCCTCTGTGTCCCACTGGAGACACCCATCCAGGGAGGTGGATGTATAGATCTGGATCTGCTCGGCTGGGAATGAGAAACTTCCCTTGGCAGCCGGATCAAAAGCAGTGAGAGGAGGCTACAATCAGCTGCAAACACAAATGAACCAACAGGTCTGGCCATTACATTTACTCCCAATTGTTTGCAGCTGCAAAAACAATATTTTTCACACAAAAAAATCCCATTTTTGGCCCCAGACAAAGATCAGTTCCTATCTCTTATCTACTGTTCTGGTAGAGCTTTCAGAAAGCTTGTAACTTTGAACTGGTGACTAACAGAGCATCTGCAAAGGAAATCATTCCTAAAATCCTTCAGTGGAGCCACACCACTAGAGAGGGACAGGTAGGATTAGTGCTCCGGGTATTCCCTGAGGTATGAAAATAAATAAAACCCCTTAGTTTTGATTTAATGGCAAGCATTTGAGAAGAAGAAGAATTTTGTGCAGTATCACTAAGCGGTTCTCAAAGTGTTTGGAACCAAAACAATCAAGGAGACAGTTGTATAAATGCTGTTTTCTAGTTCCTCTGGAGCTGCTCTAATTTAGCTGAAGCCAAATTTCACTGTACTCAACGTGATCTTACCAGTAATTTTCTTCTTCAGACAATGTCTTGATTTGTGTGCAGAATATATTAACTGAAAAGTGCCCAGGTGTTTGAAGCCTGGGATGTGACATCCTCAAGGACAGGACCTGG